ATCTTGCCCTTTTTGAAGACTGGAGTGACATTGGCTTTCCTCCAGTCCTCAGGCACCTCTCCTGTTCTCCATGACCTTTCAGAGATGATGGAGAGTGGTTCAGCAATAACATCTGCCAGCTCCCTCAGCACTCTTGGGTGCATTCCATTTGGGCCCATGGATTTGTGGGTGTCCAGTTTGCTTAAATGATCGCTAACCTGATCCTCCTCGACCAAGGGAAAGTCTCCCTTTCTCCAGGCTTCTTTTCTTACTTCCAGAGTCTGGGATTCCTGAGGGCTTGCCTTAGCTGTAAAGGCTGAAGAAGGCATTCAGTCACTCCATCTTCTCTGTATCATCTGTCACCAGGGTACTCACCTCATTAAACAGCAAGCCCACATTTTCCCTAGCCTTCCTTTTGCTGCTGCTGTGTTTGTAGAAGCCCTTCTGTTTGTCTTTGACATCCCTTGTCAGATTTAATTCCAAGTGGGCCTTAGCCTTCCTCATCGCATCCCTGCATACTCTGATGACCTTTCTATATTCCTCCCAAGTGGTCTGTCCCTTTTTCCACATTCCATAAACTTCCTTCTTCCATCTGGGTTTTGCCAGAAGCTCCTTGCTCATCCATGCAGGTCTCCTGCCCCCTTTGCTTGATTTCTTGCTCATAGGGATGCACCGATCTTGAGCTTGGAGGAAGTGGTTCTTGAATATGAACCAGCTCTCTTGGGCCCCCCTACGTTCCAGAGCCCTAACCCATGCGATCCCTCCCAGTAGGTCCTTGAAGAGGCCAAAGTCAGATCTCCTGAAGTCCTGGGTAGTAATCCTACTCATTTCCCTGCTTCCTCCACACAGGATCCTGAACTCCACCATCTCATGGTCACTGTAGCCAAGGCTGCCCCCAACCTTCCCATCTCCAACCAGGCCCTCTTTGTTTGTTAGTACAAGGTCCAGCAGAGCCCCTCTCCTCGTTGGCTCCTCCACCACCTGTGTCAAAAAGTTATTATCAATGTTCTGCAGGAACCTCTTGGACTGTGCATGCCCAGCTGTGTTGTCTTTCCAGCAGATATCAGGGTCGTCGAAGTCCCCCATGAGAACCAGGGCCTGGGATCAAGATGCTGTAGAAGGCCTCACTGACTTCCTCATCCTGAGCAGGTGGCCTGCAGTAAAGACCCACAATGGTGTCACCCATATTAGCCTGCCCCTTGATTCTTACCCGTAAGCTCTCGACTCATTCTTCATCTGCCCCTGGGCAGAGCTTGATACATTCCAGTTGCTCCCCTCCATATAGAGAGCAACTCCACCACCTCACCTTCCTGGCCTGTCTTTCCTCAAAAGTACGTAGCTGTCCATGACAGCATTCCAGTTGAGCGAGCTGTCCCACCATATCTCTGAAATTGCAATGTGACCTCACACAGATCTCTCATTCTTCCTCTTTATTCCCCATGCTCTGTGCGTTGGTGTACAGGCATTACAGAGAGGTGCTCCAGCACGGAGGTTTCCCGGTAGGGTAGAAGAGGATCCACCGTAGCCATACACACCCTTGAGGTGGCTGGCCACCTGGTTCCCATCTTGGGAGGCAGCTAAGGAACATTTGTCGCCGTTCTGGTTGGCCTGGCTCATTCCCCGGTTGCATGTGATGGCGTGGGCATTGCTACTTTGGACCCTACCCCCCGAGTCCTTCAGTTTAAAGCCCACCTCACCAAGTTGGCCAGCCTGCTGCCAAAGATTCTCTTGCCTTTTCTCGACAGGGGGATTCCATCCCTCTCTAATAGGTTTTAGTCATCAAAGAATGTCCCGATGTCATAAAAGCCAAAACCCTCACAATGGCATGAGTCACGAAGCCAGAAGTTGGTTTGCAATCTATGTCTGTTTCTGGCTACCCCCTTTCCTCTGACTGCTAAAATGGAGGAAAAGAGGCACCAATATTTTTCACTTGCACCCCCGGGGCTTTATAGTCTTCCTTGATTCTGCCCAGGTTCTGGCTCGCAGTGTCATCCGTGTCCACATGAAAGAATAACAATGGATAATAGTCTGTGCTCTTGATGAGTCCCGGCAACGCGCTGCGCTCTTGGCCCTCTCGGCCATGTCTCGGACTGAAGCTCCTGGAAGGCAGCACAGCTCTCGTGACCCCCTGTCAGGTCGGCAGATGGGCGCCTCAGTGCCCCTGAACAGAGTCACCCACCACCAGCACTCGCCGTTTCCCTTTGCAGTATCCACTGGGTGCTGGTGGTATGGTTTCTCCTTGCAGATCGTGGTGTCTATAGCTGTTAAAGCTTCATACCTGGTTTCGGTTGTGATGCTGGAGGGTGGAGACTGGAGCAGAGTCCTGCTTTTGCGGGTCACCTGGTCCAAGGTGCCTCATTCTCAGTGGTGTCCACGGCAGGAGCGTGGTTCTGAAACCACCCACCTATCTACTTCTCAGCTCCTCTGATACTGCTCAGCCTTTTGACTGTTTCCTGCAACTTGGCCACCTAACATCACGGATCATCAACCTCTGCAGACTTTAACGCAGGCACTCACCTTTTCTCCAGGAGAAGGGTCTGGCCACTCATTGCAACCTACCGCTTGTACTGAGGTCTCCTTCTTTACTAGTTCCATCTGGGTGGAAGCATCAGACATCTCGGGGACTTTCTCTGTAGGAGCTCTGGTTTTGACTCTGAGGCCAGTGCCAACCATTTTGGCAGAGACCTTGACCACTTCACTGGGCTGTGGACCTACAAGCAGGTTGCAGGGCCCTTCCTGCAGGCCCTTCTTGCATGAACTACCGTGCAAACCGCCGTGCCATGCCCTGGCTGATGTGCCACGCCCTATTTGCCCACCCTATTCGTGGCACTCCTGGTCACCAGTGCTCCTGAGGGCTGTTGAAGTCTTCCACAGTTGCCTCTGGCAATGCCCCAGTCACGTCAGCCTTGCTGGCGAGAACTGCCACCTCCTGACCGGGTCTCTCTGCTCTTCCTTGGGTTTCCTTGGCTCCAAAACCCCACCTGTCCACCTCAATCTAGTGCTCAGCCACAGAACTTCACCATTGCCACCACTGCCCACCTCACTGATGGAGTGGGTGCACCTCAATCAGCCACCAAAGCTCCAAGGTTTTGGAGCCTCACAGTTTGTGACCATAAAAGAGTGTTCTCTAGTTGATTGTGGCTTGCCAGAGGCAAGGGCATGTAAACCATCCTGTCTCTCGTGTTGGTGATGGGGAGGAGGATCTGGGTGTCTTCTCCTCCTGGCCGTTCTCTCCTCTGCCTAAGGTTGTATCTCATTGTGCCTGCCTGCAAAATACGATGGGTCTCTAGCCCAAAACACACAGCCGAAGTGTGGCACGTGGGGTCCTGCTCACTGT